CAATATTAGCCAAGCCAATTTGTGAGGTATTCAAAGGTGAGAAAATGCGAGTGTTGGTGAGGAGGTTTTACTACTAACCTTGTTTGCTCGTTTTGTAGGTACAAAGGAGTTATAAGGAAGTATGTCATCAATAGCCTCGGACCCAGGTGATTATGATATGGGAGACAATGATTGTAATGATGGAGGCAATGGATGTGAAGATGATTGTGATTATGGAGGTTATGATTATAGCCATGATCAAGAGCCGAAAGGGAATGAGAGCTACTATTCCGGAGCAGAATATGAGGAGCATGGTGAACATAGTTCTTATGGTGAAGATGGAGAGTACGACGAACCTTGTGATGGCTCCTATGGTGATGATGGAGAATGTGAGAGATCTTACTCCCACTCCGAGAGTGAAGATGGTTCCTATGATGGTGCCAGAACATATTACACTTCCCACTCCAAGGATGAAGGTGAAGTGAGGTATAATACTCTCTTATATAAGAATTATGAGGAGCATGCCCCTAAGGCTTGTGAAGATTCATATTCTTTGTCTTGTGGTAATCCTTGCCCTAGTCGAAGCGGTGTGTATGGTTAACTAGTTCAAGTCAAAGTCATCCGATGGGAAGAAGAGAGTGTGCATCTCTAATGTCTAAGGATACTACATCCTACACTTCTCATGTTAATGCACACTTGTCAGGATATAGGAACCAAGGCAGATATGGGGGATGTGTTAGGGGTCTCGGTACCAAAAAGGTTAGTCTTCCTATCTTTGAAGGAAAGTGTGATCCCGAGGCGTATCTTGATTGGGAGTGGCAATGTGAGCAGAATTTCCAAAACCATGATTTGGGAGACATTGAGCAATCCATGTATGCCCTTGAATACTTTAAAGGTCTTGCATTGAGTTGGTGGAAACATGCAGGATGGCTTCAAGGACTCAATGGAAATACCAACCCATTGACATGGGGAGAATTGAAATGGCTTATGAGGTTCAAGTATGTGCCAAAGGGGTACACAACTTTATAATGTTGACCCAAGAAGACAAGTTCTTAGGATGAAGGTTGACATTTGTGGAGTTTTGGGGTTTGATAATCCTCGATGATTATTGCAATCTTAACTACATCACTCCATCTACGGTAGCCTACTTGAGACTACCCCGAAGATCAAGGCGTTATCCAAACACCATGGAGGGATGTAAGGTGACAGAATTTGTAAAGGTCTCTTTCACACGCGGTGCATACTATGAGGAGGTTTCGTGTGATATAATTCCCATGGACTTTTGTCACTTATGTTTGGGAGCCAATTGGTTTAACCAACATAGGGTCCCAAACGAGCAAAAATGATCCAAGTATGTTGTGGATCAATGGGGTACACATCTATTTCCTCCTCCTAAGATGAAAAATGAGAGACAAAAGATTGAGAGGAGTAAGGGATAGCAAGGTGGCAACCTTAGAGTGGAAAAAGGAGAGATTGAGTGGAGTGAAGTGAAAGGGTTGCCACAATCTCAATCTAACCTTTTTGTTTATCCTTCACTTTGTAAGATTCTTATGTAGGTACTGTTGAAGTGTCTGACCATCTCATCTAAAGCTTAAGCTGTTAGAGAGAACACACTTTTATTATTTGATTATATTCTCAACACGCCCCCTCACATGCAGGCCTGATATTTTTTCATGGGCCAAGCACGTGGAAATTCTTTTTGATTTGGGTGGCGGTGAGATTCGATCTCAGGACCTTTGCCTGCTCTGATACCATGTTGAAGTGTGTAACCATCTCATCTAAAAGCTTAAATTGTTAGAGAGAACACACTTTTATTATTTGATTATATTCTCAACAGGTACAAGCATAATGAATGGAGTAACACGAGTTCCCAACAAAGAGCCTACACTTGAAGGTGTGATGGATGCACTTTTGGGATGTCCCAACATTCCTAAGGGAGTGTCATTCCAAGGTAATGAAGATCTTTCTTGCGAGCGTCAAGGTACAATAGCTAAACTTAACACTTTTACAATTGCAAATGAACAAAGTGTAAGTGATAGCTTGTTTTTATGTGAGCCTAATGCTTCTTTACCATGTGTTGATAATGTACATGTTGAGAGTGTGGATAATTGTGTTGATCAACTTGCTTTTTAGTGTAGTTCACTAATTGAGGGATCTTGTGATGTGATTAAGGAACCTCAATTTGGTGATACTAGTGATAATGTTGATCATTTGAATAGGAGTGACTCTTTCAGCATATCTTTTGTGGAAGATCCGATTGCTTGCTTTGCTCATAGAGATCATGTTCTAGAAAATGCCTCGAAAAATGATATGTGTCTTTTTGTGGGTGAACTTGCATGCTTTAATTCTCCCATGGTAGTTGATCATTCCCCTTTTAAGTACAATATCTTATTTGAAGAAGATGAAATCACTCCTAGTGATGTACCTAGTGGTGTGAATCATGAGAGTAGTGTAGTTCTTGATAGCTATGCTTTCTATAGTAACCCACTATGGTGTGAAGATTGTCCTCACAAAGATGGAAATCTCTTCTTGGAAGATGAGAGTACTCTTGTAGGGAAGGATCATGATGAAAAGGAAGGTGGTATGTATTTTCCCATTACCTCTTCGTCTTGGTGTGTTTCAATTCTTAATGGTAT